GAGAGAGAGAGAGAGAGAGAGAGAGAGAGAGAGAGAGAGAGAGAGAAAGGGGGGGGAATTGCTTTTTCATCCTATTGATTATTTTTTTCTGGTAGAATCCTGCCTAATACATACCTCGATAATGTCGAACCAAAAAAAAAAATAAATAAATAAATCTTGGAGGCTCCAGTGGTCATGGGTAGTTGGACTTTGGCCAAGTGAAAGTGAAGGATGACCAGGTACCCTTCCCTTTTTTTACTAGAAATGGGAAATGCAAGCTACATGTTCTGTAGAAGTAAAAGTGAGAGTCCTCTCCTCTCTACCCCAAACTGGGAATCGGGGAACTAAGATTTCCCCTCCGAAATCAACTCACAAACGTGATGTGCACAGGCCGCGATCGGGGGGCCTGGACCCAGGCACTGTCTAGAAATAACAAGACTGAGCGCGGGGGTACCCATTGCTCTTCCCAAGCAAGTGAACAAGCAGGTGCAGTGCTCCAAGGTCTGCCCGTGGGAAGGAGTCCCCCTCACCACTGCCCTTCAGGGGTGTCCAGCAGGAAGCTGCAGTGCCTCTCCAGGGGACCACTTTTGGGCGGTGTCTGCAGCTCTCGAAAAAGCATCTGCAAAACAGACATGACTTTTCCTCCTCCTCATTCAACTGGACATAGGGAATTCCTCATGAGGTCACAGGTGTGTGGCTGGGCGTAAGAAGGCAGTGTAGCAAGAGCAGGGGCCGTGGGCATTTGGGTCACTTCCTCATGTAACTTCCTTGTGCTTTCAGGGCCTGCTTGGTCCTGTCTTGTGTATAACACCTCCGTTCGATGATGGCTTGGTGGGCCATACAGAGGTGGAAGGGCTGTTTCTATTCACCACGGAGGGGTTCTATACCCCCAGCTTCCTTGGGATCTTCCCATACATTCCCGTCCCAATTTTCAGGATCTCTTTTTCCCAATGCCCTCACTTTAACAGAAGATACCCTGCAGGGCTGTAGATTTGGTTTGCATTATGATTTGGCCACTGCAGATTGAGAGGTGGTTTGGTTTCCAGAAATCTCAGTGTGCTAGCCACAGGAGAAGGATTTCTTTATATATATATATATATTAGGTCTAGTAATAATCAATGTCGTTTTCTAATATTTTTTTAATCGAATTTATTTAAACAATACAACAAAATTTAATCAACAATATAGTTGCCGTTGTTTTCTACTACTTGTACCCAACACTCAGGAAGCATTTTAATCCCCTCTGTTGTAAAATTCTTGTGATTTTGATGCAAAAAATTCGGTCAATGCATTTTTGAGGCATTCTTCATTATTAAATTTTTTTCCAAGAAGAAAGTTTTGCAAAGAACGAAACAAATGGTAATCGGAAGGGGCAATATCAGGAGAATATGCAGGTTGAGGGAGAACTTCCCATTCCAGCTGGCGTAGTTTTTCAGCAGTGATTCTTGCAGTATGCGGTCGTGCGTTATCGTGGTGAAGAATTACGCCCTTCCGATTAATCAGCGCGGGTTCTTTTTCTCTTAAAGCTTGGGCTAACCTTTCCAATTGGGCACTATACACTGCACTTGTAATGGTTTGGTTAGATGGTAAAAGTTCATAATGAAGAATTCCTTTAAAATTCCACCAAACACACAACATCACTTTTTTCGCATGCAAGTCAGGTTTTGGCATGGGCTGCGGAGCCTCATTTTTGTCCAACCATTGAGGCCGCCTTTTCAAATTACCATATAACACCCATTTTTCATCTCCGGTAACAATTTGCTCTAAAAACGGCAAACGGTTTTGACGAGAGAGGAGCGAACTGCAAATTGTGACTCTTTGATTACAGTTGTTGTCGGTCAACTCATGAGGAACCCATTTTCCAAACTTTTGGACTTTGCCAAGTGCACGCAATTGATTGGAAATTGTTTTTTGTGAACAATTTAAAGTTGTCGCAAGCTCTTGTTGGGTAATTTGAGGATTTTGCACCAAAAGAGCTTAAAGAGCTTCTTGATCAAAATTGGACACACGGCCTCGACCACTCTTGTCATCTAACGAAAAATTTCCCTCGCGGAATTTCTCAAACCAACGCTGGCATTTTCTGGCGCTAACTGCATCTTGACCAAGAGCACTACAGATGTTTTTTGCAGCCTCACTTGCTTTTCTTCCTAATTGGAACTCGTAAAGCATGCAGTGCCGAATATGCTCTTCATCTGCCATCTTCTTAGCCCTAGTTTTGCAACAAAAACCAAACCAAACACAAACTTTTCAAGCAAAACTTGTTAATTGCACTTCACACGTTCTGTAGATACCACGTGTTTGAAGGTTATGTCAATACAAGTCAACGCCAAGCAAGATTTTAAAAGAATGTTTAAAACGACATTAATTATTACTAGGCAAGAGAGAGAGAGAGAGAGAGAGAGAGAGAGAGAGAGAGAGAGAGAGAGATTACAATTGATTTTCTACAGAGAGGAATAGAGAGCTAAAAACATCGATGAGAGAGAAACACTGACCAGCCGCCTCCCGCATGCCCCCCATTAGGGATGTGCCCGCAACCAATGTACATGCCCCTGACCGGAATCAAACCTGAGACCCCCAGTCCACAGACTGATGTTCTATCTACTGAGCCAAACTGGTTTCGGTGAGGATTTCTTTAAAGACAGGTATAGAAGTTTTTGATCACTCATGCAGAACTTGTGCTGACAATCTGAAGCCCTGAGACCATCTTCTTTGCTCACTTTCTCTAGGACAAGGGAGAACCAGCAGCCAATGTCATTATATACTTTAGATTGAGTAAGGCTTCTTAAACTATCAAATACATGGATGGTCACCCAGAACCTTGCCTTTGTAAGTATTTGATGAAGAGCACACATTGGTAATATTTTCCATATCTCTATTGCCACATCACAACAAGATAGCAAAGTTTGTGTCACCCCCAGAAGTTCCATCACGCCCCACTTCAGAGGGCACCTAGGAATACAACAGAGGAGAAGCTCTCTTGCTACCACTCCAAGGTCCAGATGTCTGATCTGCTACAGATTCTACCAAATGAACGAAAAGACTACTTGGCCAAAGGGGCAAATTTGGAGTATTATACTAACGATAAAAACTTCTGTAGAAAGCAAATAGAAAAGCAAGATCATTTGGGTAACTCTTTGAGGAGGCAGATACTCTCTAGATCATGACTTCATGCAAAAATAACCTGGTTGAATTTGCAAAGAGAAACTTTGGAAGTAAACACAAGAGATTAATCAAAAATATATTTTTAAAAATCAATCAATCAATCAATAAATAAATAATGCATTATCCTTTCACATTCCTTCTAACTCCAAGATTACCCAAACCTACCCTTGATAGATTCCAGGTAGGAAGCCCCATAATGGGAAGGGGAGGGATTAGTCAAGACTCCATCTCCCACCTTCCTCCAGACTACTGGGCAAAATATAAGAAGCACCATTTCTGCCTTTGGTTTCTCTGAGCAAAATATGAGAAGCACCATTTCTGCCTCAAGACGCATGGAAAGAGGTACAGGTGAGTTCCTTTTAAAGTTACGTTTTCCTCTCATTTTAACAGGGATTCTTAGACTTTGGTGGCCAGCAGAACCACCTCAAAAGCTGATAAATGGGGAGATTCCTGATCCCTCCCTCCAGAGGCTGATTCCATGGGTTGGTGGATGGTGCTTGGAGTAGAATGGTCACATATAACACTTTTATTTTCCTTATGCTAAAGAAAGTAGAGGTGATTTAACTGGTTGTTTGTTTGTTTGTTTGTTTGTTTTTAAGTAAAATATATTTTGTTTTAAACTAGAGGCCTGGTGCATGAAATTCGTGCATGGGGGCAGAGGGGTATCCCTCAACCCAGCCTGTACCCTCTCCAATCTGGGACCCCTCAAGGGATGTCCAACTGCCCATTGGACATCGGACATCCCTCTCACAATTCAGGACTGCTGGCTCCCAACTGCTCGCCTGCCTGCCTTCCTGATTGCCCCTAACTGCTTCTGCCTGCCAGCCTGATCACCCCCTAACCACTCCCATGCAGCCTGTTTGCCCCCAACTTCCCTCCTCTGCCAGTCTGGTCACTCCTATCTTCCCTCCCCTGAAGGTTTGATTGCCCCCAATTGCCCTCCTTTGCCTTTTTCTTCTTCTTCCTCTTAAAGAATACCCTTCAGCATTTCATGTAATCCTGGTTTGATGGTGGTGAACTCCTTTAGCTTTTTCTTGTCTGTGAAGCTCTTTATCTGACCTTCAATTCTGAATGATAGCTTTGCTGGGTAGAGTAATCTTGGTTGTAGGTTCTTGCTGTTCATAACTTTGAACATTTATTGCCACTCCCTTCTGGCCTGCATAGTTTCTGTTGAGAAATCAGCTGACAGTCATATTGGGTACTCACTTGTAGGTAACTAATTATTTTTCTCTTTCAAGATTCTCTCTTTGTATTTTGCCCCTTGGCATTTTAATTATGATGTGTCTTGGTGTGGTCCTCTTTGATTCCTCTTGTTTGGGGTTCTGTGCGCTTCCTGAACTTGTAAGTCTATTTCTTTTACCAGGCAGGGAAAATTTTTTGTCACAAACGTATAACCAGTTAAATCACCTCTACTTTCGTTAGCATAAGGAAAAGAAAAGTGTTATATGTGACTGTTCTACTCCAAGCACCATCCACCGACCCATGGAATCAGCCTCTGGAGGGAGGGATCAGGAATCTCCCCATTTATCAGCTTTTGAGGTGGTTCTGCTGGCCACCTGTCTAAGAATCCCTGTTATTTCTTTCAATAGGCCTTCGATGTCCTGCTCTCTCTCTTCTTCTGGAACCCCAAAAATCCGGATGTTGGTGTGCTTAAAGCCGTCCCAGAGACTCCTTATGCTATCCTCACACTTTTGGATTCTTCTTTCTTTCTGTCTCTCTGGTTGAGTGTTTTTTTGTTTCCTCATATTCCAGATCTTTGGCTTGACACTTGGCGTACGTTGATGTACAGTTGAGTTTCTGTATGTTCTTTATTTTAGACAGTGTATGCTTTATCCATTTCAGATACCCTCAATGTCTAGATGGAGCCCTCAGGCATCCCAGAGACCACCACACCTTATGATTATGATTTGCAGAGCATTTTGTGTGAGACTCAGACCTTCACCTTTGCAACCTTCAACACCACCATCCTGTACTGCCTGGTGTTCTTCCTCAGCCTGGTGGGCAATATTCTGGTGCTGTGGGTCCTGGTGAAGTATGAGAGCCTGGAGTCCCTCACCAATGTCTTCATCCTCAACCTGTGCCTCTCAGACCTGGTGTTCTCCTTCCTGTTGCCTCTGTGGGCCTTGGTGTATCACTGGGGCTGGGTGCTGGGAGACTTCTTCTGCAAGCTCTCCAACATGATCTTCTCCATCAGCCTCTTCAGCAGCATCTTCTTCCTGACCATCATGACCATCCATCGTTACCTGTCCGTGGTGAGCCCCCTCTCATCCCTGAGAGTCTACACCCTCCAATTTCGTGTGTTGGTGACCACAGCTGTGTGGGCAGTAAGCATCCTGTCCTCCATCCCCGATGGCATCTTCCACAAAATGTTTCATAATCCAGAATCTCCATCAAAATTTTCAAAATGTGATTATTCAGAAGTCAAGTGGTACCTGGCCTCAGTCTACCAGCACATTGTCTTCTTTCTGCTCTCCATGGGGATTATCCTGTTCTGCTACGTGGAGATTCTCAGGACTCTGTTCAGCTCTCGCTCTCGGTCCAAACGGCACCACCGAACAGTCAGGCTCATCCTCACCATTGTGCTGGCACATTTCATCAGCTGGGCTCCCTACAACCTGGTCCTTTTCCTACAGACACTGTTGAAACTTAATATCATTCAGAGCTGCCAGGTCATCCGGCAGCTGGAGTATGCCATGCTCATCTGCCGTGATTTTGCCTTCTGCCACTGCTGCGTCAACCCAGTGCTCTATGTCTTTGTTGGGGTCAAGTTCCGCAGACACCTCAAAAGTCTGCTCCAACACTTTGGGCTCTGCCAGTCATTATCTTCCCCATCACCTCACTCCCACAGTGCTTTCCCCTATGAGGGCGCCTCCTTCTATTGAAATGGGAGTTTGGTGCTGCAGGTTGAGATGGACAGAAGACATGGAGTGGGAGCAAAGAGAAGTGGTACAAGAAAGAGCATTGCAGAAGGCACAACACTGGGGATGCTACAGCTGCAGGGGTGGGAGATGAAAGAAATACGTTACCCAGGAGGTCCTACTGCAGAAAAGGGACTCCCTGCCTGGAAAGTTTATATTGCCGTCAAGAAAAAGATTTCTTAGATCCTGAGTTTGTTATTCATTCCTTCATTTATTCATTCATTTAGACATTGGTTTATTATCATTGCTTAGTTCAGAAGGTTCTAAGACATGAAATTTTCCCAGACCATACAGACCTGGTCCCAATCTATGAATCAGAGTCAGCTCTGGATGATTGGGGCCTTTGGAAAATCTCCCCAGCTGATTCTGACATGTACCCTACTAAGAAACATTGGGTACAACTCCTTGAAAATGGGAATTCCAGAATCTTCCACAGTTCATTGAGCGGAACTTTGCAGAGTCACTGTGGCACTCAATATATGTTTATTGAGTAAAGTGGCTACTAATACAGCCCTCAGCTGGAGCCTGGAGAGCTTATAAAGCATTTCCCCCTTCAGTTCCAGCTATCATTTCAATACTCTAGTTGCCATCGGGAGGCCAGCCTTGGAGGACATTGACCTTGCTGCAAAGAGCTAAGGTCTAATTTCAAGAACTGGTCAGTAACACCTGCTGGAGAAGGCTGGGTAGTGCACCAGCTAACCAATAGGTGGGGCCATCACCCACCACCTATGGAAGAAATAGCCCCCCACCTAAGGAAGGAGATGAGATGGTTTCAGAGTAAGTGGATAAAGAGCCTCTCTTTTTGGTGTATGTGTGTGTGTTTGTTTTTTTCTACTTCCATTTCTCTTTCTGACTCTTGCTTATATTACACCTTCCAATCAACTCCAGGTACCATTCATAGGCTTTCCATGGGTTCTTCTCCAGAGTACACCAGCCTAGGCATCACCTGGTTTGTTGAATTCTCGTGGCTTTCATTTGTGAAAGCTGCCTCTGACGGGACAAAGAAGCCCTCAAGCATGGAAAGCCCAGTAGAAAAGAACCCCCAAAGTAAACTGGCTAAGCAGTCTCTTGGGATTTGAACCCTGGATCCAAACCGCGAATCCAAGCTCTTTACTCACTCACTGTGACCTTGGATCTCTCAGAGCCTCAGTGTCCTCATTTGTAAAACTGTATCAACAACACAAAGACAGATTCTACTCAGACCATGGAGGTGCACATGAGGTTATGTGTATAAAGTATTTGCTTTGTAAATCATTCGGCCTCGACTAATATGAATTACTATTGCAATCATCTAATAAAAACAGGAAAAAATCATTGTATCATATGCACAAATAAATCTCTACCCAAGATCATTACATAAGATTCCTAAAAGTTCTCTTCTTATTGGAGGGATGGCGGTGGGGTGGGGAAGCCGGGTTAGGATTTGGGGTGAAGGGAGGGACACAGAAGGGTTGGAGATAAAGTGTGAAATAAATCCTGTGTGAATCAGGATGGTGGAAAATTGGCTCCATTTAGGCCTTAGGCAAAATTGTCCGAGGCCAAGTCTGTCTTGAGTGTTCCCTGGCTCAGTTTTTTGTCCGTATCTCTCCTCTGGCCTGACACCCAAGTCTCTGTCTCCAAGTCCAGGGCTTTTTCCTTTCTCTTAATCCAACTGTGTCTGAACAAGGACCACAGAGGGAATGATACTGCTTTCCGCCCGAAATTTCTTTTTCACACTAAGTCTTTGGAACTCAAGCGTATTCTGCACTTACAACACATGCCCAATTCAACTCAAACTCTCATTTCAAATTCTCAAAAAGTCACACATGGGCGGGGCTGCTTTCGAGAAGGATCCCAACACCGGGGGTGGTTGGTGTGCGTCCTCAGAGATGGAAAAAGGTTAACCTACAGCCAGAGGCAAGTAGGAGTTGCCAGCCTCAGCGCCGCGGAGCATGCTGGGAGTTGTAGTCTGAGCCCATATGCCCCTGGGGTCCGACGGGCGCTGTAGGCCACGAGCTCGTGGAGCATGCCGGGAGTTGTAGTCCGCACCGGCTCGTGGCGGGCTCTGCGTGTCATGGCCGTCTCCGCCGCGCTCCCGCAGTCTTCCGCTTGGCCCCAGAAAGTTTCGGTTCTGCCCGGCGGTGGACCCACTAGCGCGTAAGTGCCACCGGGGGGCCGGCCGGACGCTGGGGGCACCCAGGCTCCTCTCGGATCCGGAGCCGAAAACTTCAAGGCACCTGTTGCCCTTTCCGTTCCCACCCGGCTCGGGTGTCCCGCAGACCCCGAGCCCTTGTCCGGCGGGCCCGGGAGATGTCCGCAGCGGGTGAACCTGGCCCTGGAGCCCGGGCGGCCTCTGTGACCCGTTAGAAAGACAGACACCACCCCACCCCCCAACAGCAGCCCCACGACCTCCAACGGCCTAGGGGCCCATCCGGTGTGGGGGGGGGGGGGTCTCAGGACAAGCCTGGCGTGTTTGGGGCGCGGCGGGCAGAGGACCCCGGCCTCCAGCTTGCATTGCCCAAGGCACTGACCTTAAGAAGCCAGTTCCTGGCTCAGCGGGGCCAGGACTGCCCAGACCCCTCACTGGGCGCTACGCCCCCGATGCCCTCCCTGGTCTCGCCCCTCCTCCCCTAAGCGGTTGGTTTGTTGTTCCTCCCGAGACCATCCATCCTCCGATCACGGCCCTTTGTGCCCGCTGCCCACTGCCCCTTGTGCCCCAGACCCAGGATCTCAGGCTGGTCTTTGCTGGGACACCTGTGGGGTCTGTGGAGCGTCCCCTGGTGTGGCTGCCCCGCACTTGAGCAGAAGAACCTCAACTTGTGGGGGATGGAGAGAGGGTGCTGCATCTTATTATTATTATTTTTATAAATATATTTATAAGAGATCATGTGTGGTTGACACATTAACCACGTGGCTGCCTGTGAAATGCATCTTCTGGTGCCTTTTGTCACTCTTCGCAGTTCCCATTGGCTGCCTCCCCAGGAGAAGAGAAAAAGAAAAAAAGAGAGAGCCGAGTGAAACCGCCCGGTGCTGGCCACAGCCTCTCCGCCCCTCGGCTCGTCTTACCGCTGCAGCTTCCGTTTCCCACCGAGAAATGGGTCAGGGGCCCAGGGGGGGCAGAGGAATCGGGCCTTCATCTGCGCGCGGCCCTCCTGCCGCCAGCTTAACCTCCCTGCCATCTGCCTCCTGCGGGTGCTGGGGGCGCCGCGTCCCGCTGGCGTTTCCTGCCTCCCGGGCCCCCGCCTTCCGAAGGGGCCCAGGTGGAGGGGGCCGCACTCGGCCCCTTCCCCCCTTTCTGTGACAAGGACTGCTCATACATGATCGAATGCCCTGTGCCCGCTTGTGGGACCATTATCACCTCCCCCCCACCCCCCCCCGGAAGGCAGAGTTCATTATCTCCGGGCTGGGCTGTGGGGCCTTCTTTGATGAAATGATTCCCGTGTTTAGGAACCGGGTTTTCTGCTTCAGTTTGTGTTTTTGTTTTTGTTTTTTTCATGGTTTCCAGGGTTTTGTTAGGAAAACGGAATCTTTGGGAGACTTGCATAGTGAACACATACCCACCTGTTAGATTCCATGTGACGTCGGTGGTTTCTGTGCTCCGGAGTCTGTCCTCCAGCGGCTCCTTGGATGGTCTTTTCTCCTTGCGGCTGGTTTCAGGGCACCCGTGTGGGTTTGGGAGCCACGCCGTTAGCCTGGACCGGTGGTCGGCAAACTGCGGCTCGCGAGCCACATGCGGCTCTTTGGCCCCTTGAGGGGTTTTTTTGTTTTTGTTTTTTTAGCAAAGGCCAGCTTAGGAGTACCCTAATTAAATTAATAACACTGTACTTACCTATATAGTTTTAAGTTCAAAAAGTTTGGCTCTCGAGAGAAATTTCAATCGTCGTCGTCCTATTGATATTTGGCTCTGTTGACTAATGAGTTTGCCGACCGCTGGCCTGGACCTTTTGGGGCGGGATGGCGCCCACAGATGTTTGTGATGAGAGGAACCACTTAGAGCAGATGTGGGGAGGAAGAATTAATCCTCTACCCTTCAAGATTCTTCTGGTTGGACTGACAGTCAGATCAACACGAGGCAGATTAGCAGGAGGAAGACAAATGAAAGTTTAATCACGCGTATCCAAGGGAGAGACCGGGGAGAACTGTGTAAGCCACCAAAATGGTGGAAGCCGACACCCCAGATACCACCTGCAGCGAAAGACAAAAGCTGGTGTGGGGGTGGCGGGTCCGCTCTGGGGGAAGCCTTCAGCTCACCAGGGAGAGGTTGTCATGCAGATGTGCGCTCCTGCCTTCTCCAGGGCTGGCAAAAGCAGGCCTGGCCCCCTGACGTGCAAACACCCTTACAAATGGAGATTGCCCTTACAAATGGAAATGCCCTTTTACCTAGGGTAACTTCTAGGTATTTTGAGTTCCTGGCACCTCTGCTGGGTCTTAAAATGAACTGACGTGATCTGCATCCCAGAGAGGCCCATTTGGAGGGGTAAACTGCTTACCCTTCCACAGCCACACCAGAGCAGACGGTGAGGTTGACCCGGGTTGGTCACCGAGGCCGTGGGCCTCTGCCATCAGAACACAGGGCCGCCCACCACTCCTGGCAGTCCTCCTCTTCCCTCTCGGTTGGTGGGTTTTCTGGTGATTCCAAGGACAACTTGGGTGAGTCAAGACTAGAATGCCTTTTGTTAATGGGAAGAAAAAAAAACAACACATTGAAACCTGTATTTTAGTGAGTTTATTTGAGCCAAACTGTTGACATATTCCGGGAAGCAGAACCTCAATAAATTGAGATAATGCTCCGAAGAATGAGGGTTACCTTTCCCGTATTTTCCGGCATATAAGACGACCCACTAATATTTTTTTTTTTTTTTTTTTACAGTTAAAACATAGGTTTAGGCCTATATTCGCTGTATAAGACTACCCCCCACTTCAAAGAAAAGACTTACTTTGCCGTCAAGATCTGCAGGTAATTTTTGTGCAATTGTGCAATTTTG